TTCCAGCCTTAAGGTCGTACATCCACCAGATGACCGCTGTCCGACACCGCGGCAGTGTAGAGAGAATTCTACAGAGGGTGGCTCAGTTTGTTTTTGACATACAGAACTACCTTAATGAGGACGGAACCATCCAGGTTACAATCTGTCAAAGATAAAAATTAATCCAATAAATCTTAAGTTTCTGGAGTGGATACAGTGTATTGCTTATAACTTAATTTCATCATTACTGGCTTAAATTGCTTTGTTTATAATTAATCCCAAACAGAAAATGCAAAATTTCAATTAAGGAATGTTTTTAATTAGGGCCCCGCAAGGATTTGTGGGTGCCCTATAGTAATCACTGTCCGTCCGTCTGTCTAGCTGTCTGTCTGTCCGTCTGTCACTCTTCCGTCCACAAATTTTCTGTTATTTTCTAATAACTTTTTTTTATGGTTGCCCAATCAAGTTCAAATTTGGTATGGTAGTTCAGTAGGCAGAAATACATATTTTGATGCTAAGTTTGGTTCTCTATGTCTTCTGGTTTGGAGCTGGGGTTGTGGGGTAGATTCCTTAACTATGCATAAGAATGAATGGGCAACTTTTTTTTATGGTTGCCAAAACAAGTAAAAATTTGGTATGGTAGTTCAGTAGGCAGAAATACATATTTTGATGCTAAGTTTGGTTCTCTATTTCCCCTGGTTTGGAGCTGGGGTGGTGGGGTACATTCCTTAACTTTATATACAAAGGCATTGGCAAAGAGAGGTAACTGCTGAAGATGTTCCCATTGTAAACTGAATGCTGCTATGAGTCCCTTGGGATTCATTAGCTTTCCTCCTGAAGAAAATCCAAAGCATTATCTTTATCTGTCAAATTGAGATGAATTACCACCTCTGTCTGCAAATGAAGTTTGTTTTGAAGTTAAATCAATTTGGAATGCTATGAACACTCTGAAATGTGGATTTAAATATAAATTTTTATAATTTATTTTTGTTTAATAGTTATGATTTCATTGAATTCTAATAACAAAAAATAGATTAAAGAAGATTTCTGATTTACTTTTTCACTTTATGTTAATTCAATAATGTTATTAATTTTTAGGATAGTTGTATAAAAACCCCATTCTATCATTAATACTGAAAAAGTTCTTAATGCAGACCTGTTTACTCTTACGATTTCGCCGTATTTTGTACGGATTTTCAGTCTAAAATACGTCTCACGTTTTGCCATTATGAAAATACGGAAATCGGAAATACGTTAGTTTTGAATTTAACAGTTAGCTTTCGTTATGATCTGTCTTAGTATCAACCTTTTTATCGCTAAATAAGAGGAAGATTTCAAACACATGAGCAATGTCAGTTTGCCAAAACGCTGTGGTATTATGAAATGGCAAAGACCTTGTTGTTACACCATGCTTTTGTAATCACAAAAGCAGTTTTTCTCTCTTAATATATGTAAAATTGATGGAAAGTGAAATCTTACTGGCAAATGCAAAATCTCACGGACAAATTTAATAAAAAATACTGAGAGACAGCGTTATGGGTAAACAGGTCTGTTAATGTAACTTTAGAAGAAAATGATGAGAGAGGTACAATTAATCCCTTGGGATTAATTATCTAGCCTGCTTCAGAAAATTTAGTAGGCTTTTCTTTATCTGTCACTTTAAGATTAATGAAAACCTTTGTCTGCAACTGCTGTTTGTTTGAAGTTAAGGTCAAGCCTTCATGATATTTGCATTCATTGAAGGCTGGCATTTTATATAACACAAGCTTCATAATTGTTTAAATATACATTCAGTGTTAAGTTGTTCTTTACTGCCTAATGTAAATACGAGGGTTGATCCAAAAGTAATGTCACAACTTCGATAAAATTTCTCCTAGTTGACGTAAATTAACAAAATTTTACATGATGGAAGCTATATTTATTTTAAATCAGTCCTGAAAAATTCAAATTAAAATGATTTATACTTTTTAAAATATCGAATAAAATACAAAATGCGATTATGGTAGTCGCCGCACCTTAATAACGTCATAAAACGGATATGCGCCGTCACACACTTTTAAAAACGCCTTCTCATCTTTTTATTAAAAAAATTATATTCACAAAACATTCACATATTTTATTTTCTTTAAGAACAATTGGCACCAATTGTACACTTTATTTATAATTTAATCCTTCATCTAAATTCTTTGAACAATACCATAAGACAAACTTAAAAGTGTCTCATATCACTCAAACTGCCACTAATCTCTTTTACGACAACGTCAACATCATTGAACGTTTCCACCCGACCTCCTATCTTTCAGTATTTCTGTCCCCAAATGATCATTTATTTACCTATTACCCCCTCTAAATCTCTGAAACCATCTATGAACAAGTCTCTCGTTAACATTCTTTCCTCTGCAAGTTTGATTTACCATCATAACTGTTTCTACTTGTGATTTCCCAATTTTGAAGGAAAAATACATTACAACTCATTTTGGTGTTTCATTCCATTTCGACATTTCCTTTCTGCAATACATCAGATATAAACAATACTGTTTATGATGAACAAAAAACAATGCTGCCATTTAATTTTTAACTAAAGATTAGAAAATGTTGTAAATTTTGTCTTTTAAAATATTGGACGGTTAGACGATTTTTTAGATACTTTTTTAAATGTGTTTGTCTTTTTTCGTTCTAACAATATTTACTTTAAAACGTGACATTTAGTTGTGACGCGGCGACACCCCCAATGTTTAATGTTTAAATATCTATAAAATGAATTCAATTGAACATTATTAAATGAAATTTTTAATTTTGATTAGATTTATGTTTATGCATCTTTTGGTGCATTATATTTGATAATATGACGCCAAATATTAAAGATATGGACACAGTGACATTACTTTTGGATCAACCCTCGTACAAGGATATTATTTTCAGGTTTTTGAATATTCAGGAATTATCTTGAAATTTTAAGAATACAGTTGCTGTTGCTTATTCTTCGTACATTTTTTAATCATTCCGTAAGCTGCACCCTATTAATTCTACCCCATGGCGGGGCCCTTGCTGACTGGTCAGTTTTCTAGTTTGTGTGAGTTATTGGTCTGTAAATCATACAGACTTGTCACTTAGGCATATTTCACGAAGCCTGCTAGTGTTTGTTAAGTAGAAAAACACAGGGAATGTAAATATTAAAATTACAAGAGTTAAATTTAAGAATGTGTTGTTCTAATAAAGTTATTTCTATTTCTAAATTTTTCCCTACAGTATTCAAACATATAGCTATTAAAGTTTTATAGTTTTGCCTTTTAAATTATAGACAAAGGGAGAAAGAAAGAAATCACAAAGTGCCATTGAGCAGAGGACACAACATTTGTCACAGAAGTTTGATTGGTTGATACGAGACCTACAGCTGGAGATGGAGAAGGCATTCTCCAATCAGATCCGACCTAAGTTAGGGGAGGGCATCACCCTAGCCTCCATGAAAGCCAATGAACAAGCAGCGAAATGGGGATCACCGGTAATCATTAGTTTAACATTTAATATGGGTTTATTTTTTAAGAACAGTAAAACAAGCTTAAAGCTTATATGTTTATGATGAATTGATGCTTATAGCTAATTGATTTTTTAAAATATTTTCTGTTGATTTCTATTGTAAAAAAAAAAAAACAAGTTTTACAAAAATTATGGAATTATCTCTCATTCTTTTCCCAAAGAAATAATTTTTGATGAAAATCTATACATCAAATATCTATAAAAATATCATTCAAATATGTTAACTTCTGAAAATTGACTTGGAGGTAGACAGCAGTTCTTACAACCCTCCCCCAGACCACTTTTGAATATTTAAATTTTTCAATATTGAACTTGTTTCAACTTGACATTTTTAGCCAAAATATTCAAGTGAGAGATGTGGCCCATGGACGTTTTGATTGAATTTATCCTATTGATTTCATTGTAAAATGGGATATCACCCCTGGAAATAAGAGTAATCCCATCGGTGCCAAATCATAACTGCTTTGCATGCATTTTGTTCTCGTTAGAAAAACTTTTTTTTATCCCTATCAGATGAACAAGGAGAACAAGCAGGCCGGGGGGTTACATTGGTGTGTGTACCGAGCCACGGTACAGAGACACGGGGTGTTCCAGTCCCCCACCTACGGACCGGTCAATTTTAACGAGGATCTTACGGCTCCTATGTATACAAGGATATCCATTGTGTGGGATAAAGTCTTCAGGTAACCTTAAAAACAATGGAGCCCTTCAGATTACTTGTAAATGTAATTAAGTAAAAGCTGAACATTATATTAACCCTTTCTCTTCCGGCGCATTTTACGTGATTTTGGAGGCCTTTTGACATGACATTATTTAATTATTTCTAGATTTTTTATCCAAGGGGAAAGCTAGGCATATTGCATACCATTTTGTAGGAAATTTCTTACAGATGATTTTTTATGACTGTTTAGATACTCAACCACTGACCTCATTAGTAAAAATTGAGGTCAAAGGTCAATTAAGTGCAACATTTTATGGAACTTTTTGATACTTTTTCATCTTTAAGCTAAATATTAAGTATGATGTATGTTGAAATAGGAAATTTGGGATATACCCACAAAAGAGCATCATACTGTACTACATGAAACACATAAACTTTTTTTTCAATTCAGCATATAACTACTTAAAAGGGGTTGCTAAGCAACGCAGAATTCTTTAATTTTCGGGCAGAAATTTTCATTTTTTACTCATCCTAGACACATTTATGAATCCCAGCACATAAAAAAAGTTAGATGCGAGGTCATAAAATTATAAGGGACATACAACAGATAAATTGTCTTAAAGTTTGACCTCATTAGAACTATTTTTAGGAGGTCAAAGGTCAAATAAGTGCAAAAGTTTCATCAATTTTTTTCAACACTTTTCAATATTCTTGCCATAATTTTACACAATGGATGCTGAAATGGAAAATTCTGAATATACTCTCAAAAAGGGATCAGAACTGCAATATCCATGCATCATTTTAGTTCAAATTTCTGTTTAATGACCTTTAAGTGGTTGCTAAGCAACATCATTTTAAAGTTTTTGTCTATATACATGTTTGTTATTTCACATTCTGGACAAATTCTAGACACTTTTTGTATATTTCATGATATTGCTTGTAAGATATGGGCCATAAAGATGAAAGAACATTTTTGTATTAAAAATTGACCTTGACACTCTTGTTCTTCAGAGGGTCAAGGTCATATTAGTACAGAATTCTGCTTTAAACTGTAAGTAACTATCAATTTTGAAATGCTTCAAACATGGATAGATCATCTAATAGTTGACGTAATAAAAATGGCGAATGACAAAGTTTGCAAGCAAAGAATTCTAGTCTGCTTCTTACAAAGCCCTAGCAAAACATGAATACTATCTTTTTGTTAAACAAGAAATCCATTCTCTTGATGACATTAAAAATAATCTTTATTTTCATGGATTTAATTTAACAAGAAAAAAAAACTAAATGATTTCATTACAAGATTTTACTGGTATAACAGAGCTTAAGGGGTACATTAAAGACTTGATATGTTATCTTGGAGGGAAATAATAAAAATAGCATTGGCAATATTTAATGCAAAACTGTTTAGTCAATAAGTTGAAAATTTGACGCTTATATCCAAATATACAAATACAGAAATATTGCAAGATGAATTCAAAATCAGACTGAAATCTTCAACAAAATGTTGAAGAGCACTTTTACTTTGTGTCCACCATTCTTTTATCAACTGTCATTTCTCTGTAAGACGGGAGGAAATTCTTTGACTTGTCCAAGACATTATTATTTGCTGTCAAGTACAAGTGATCAGCTTCTATCCTGTAAAAGATTTAAGTATTTTGAAACAGATACATGTCATTGTATATATAAATTTATCTTTATAAATAAGATTATAATGCTAAAATTACTACATTTATTTGATTTTCCTTTTAAAATTAAAATTGTATTCATTATGTGATCCAAGTAGTTAAATGATATTGTTAAGTCAATGTATCAGGACTGATAATTTAACAACTTGTAGTAAACCATCATGGTAAAATTACTGAACTAAAACAAATAGCATATATGGCAATCTGACTAAAGCCAGACCTCTGTTTACGCTATCGCAACATGTAAAAAAATATCATGGTATTAGATCGCTACGAAAGCCGGGAAGGGACACGTAAATTTTTCAAAAAAGTAATTAAAGATATCAAATCGAATTAGACAATCTAATCCCAAGGATTACTAAATTTTTCCCTCAATTTATAATATGAGATCTCGAATTACACAATCCGATCTTAAGGATTACTAATTTGCCCCCTTGATTCATAATTTGAGATCTCGAATTACATACTGGTAATTTGTTTTCACAGATTGATAATTCAACATCCTGATTTGTTACGTCAGTCTTATGATTTTGGAAATCTGTGCTCTTTAATTTCATTACATATATGTACAGAAACATCCAACCATTTTAATCAATAAGTGCGTTCTATTTATTTTGTTTCAGCAACCGGTTAATTCCAACCTCTTTCATAACTAATTCAACGTATATTTATTTTAGAAATATTATGATTACACAGGACCCATATTCACTTTTACTATCTAGGACTTTCAATTATTCTAATATACAAGTAACACAAAAACTTCTAAGATTTTTTGTTGTACAAATATCAGTACTAGCACATGGATTTGAAAATGTTCATGTATTTTTCTCATTTTGGACCGTAATATGTAAATAATAAAAATTAGGATGTAAAATACTACAATATTCTATTTTTTAAACATGTATTACCATATCCGACATGTACAGATAAATAATTTAAACGAAATCATGAGAAGGGTTTACATTCCGAGGGAATGAATCATTTAAACTAAAAGAATGAATTATACAATCTGAGATAACGGACTGTGTAATTTGAGGGAACGAATTGGTAATCTGTGAGAATGAATTGGCAATTTGTTATAACATATTGTTAATCCGAGAGAACAGATTGTATAAATCAAGAACTCGGTTTACTTTTATAAATTTCAAAAATTCTATGCCCCTTCATGGCTTTCATAGATTTCATACCTGCATGGCTGCCAGGGTTGTAAAAAGAAATGAGACAATAGACTGCAATGTTACTTCAGGGCAAAATTCCTGGCGCAAGATCATGGAAGTGTTGATAAACCATCCAGTGAGTTTGACCACCCATGTATATGATGTAGGATAATTGGAAAGTGTCTGAAAATTTGAAAAAATGGAAATTCTAACCACACACTTTATGCAGATTGGAAATACAACAGCAGTCTATAAAAACAGTTTGTTCCATATCTCGGCATTCATTCAGATAGATATTACATGTTTAAATAATGTGTCTGTATGAATAATCAAGCATCATACGTATTATGTGTTTCAAACACTTAATTTTCAAAATATAAATCAAATGTTTATAAACTTGTATGAATGCGATCATGAAAATGACACAAATGAAATAAGATTTTATTTTTTTTTAATTTTAGAAATACAGAAATTTTCAATACCAAAATAAAAATTTACCTGTTCATTGGTGTCCTTACATATTAATTGACCTTCCGCTCGTAGTTCATGGTGGGCTTAGAAAGTGGGTATTCACAGATGAAAGTATTGTTGCATATCCTGAAAGCACCCTAAAATTTCAATGTGAAAGTGGTACATGTACACCTGTACACACTGGTACATAGATACTTAAAACAACTATCCATTATTATGACAACTTTGATTTTACTTTGAACTTACGAGTGATTGTCAAAAGCATCAAAGTTCAAAAGCAATGCAAAATTGGCTGAATGATACGAAACACGCACACTGAAACATAGAGATCTAGTACATGTGTACATTTAGTTTTCTTTTGAACGTGAACTATTGCGTTTTAAACTTAAACTTTTCAGTCAATATACACGTATTCTCACCTGCTAATACCAAAGGCATGTCCGTATTATTTGATTCATTGATGTGATGATCTTCGTCGTGAAATAATCATGAAAATTGACGTTCAGATTTCGGATCACCATCATGTTTACACCAAGGCTGGGCAAAACGGAAAGGAACACATGTTTATTTCAATATTCGTATCAACTCATACAGTGATGAGTCGTATTTATTTATAAATGCGAGTTTTTGTATTGTAAAATATAGATCTAATTAAATTGCAAATTAATAAGTATACAGTATAACAAGATACAACAATATTAAAAATCTGATTGATTTTTTTTTTTTTTTTTGGTAAAGATCGACGTTTTGGAAATCTACAATTTTTATCAATATTGTATATCACTTCATGAAATATACATCATTACACATGTTACATGTAGATGAATAAATCAACATTCACTTCACAAAAGGCAGAACGAAAGTATATATTTGTTTTTTGAAATCTATTTTTTTTTTTTGTATTATGCATTTATTTCAGTAAAAAATATATTTGAATGGTCAAAAAAGTCTTATAAAAGAATTTGTTGTTTCGAGTAAGACGCAACAATATCGACCTTGACGTTACATGTAAATATTGACCGATTTTTCCATAAAAACTATGCAAAGGTCACAAATTCAAATTATCGTAATTAAGAAAATACTGAGCGTAAGAAGGCCTATAAGGGCTTGTTGGAAAGGAAATTTTCTCTACTTTTACCAGCTTTATTTTGTTTTCCCTATTTCAACACAGAAATAAATGTAAAACTGAGGTTGTTAAAATATTACGAATAAAATCGATAAAAAACACATAAGTGCAAGAAAATTCTTGTTTTTAAAATATACCTTAAAGTAATAACAATAATTTTTACATATTTTAAAAGTAGAGAAAATATTCTTAAAGAATATACCATGCTTTCTTCTAAAGTTAAACAGGAAAAAAATTGTTAATCGTCTGGAAAATCGGCAATCGCTTTTAAAAATTACGCCATTTTCAAAAAGTCTCGTTTGTCTTTACAACGTAAAATCGATTAAATACCGGCAATCAAAATATAATCTTTTTAGATATTTTAAAAGTAGAGAAAATTTCCAAAAAAGATGATATATAGCTTATATACCTTCATGCTACCACAAAATAGATACGGAGATCTTATTTTCGCGAAGTCGTGTTTTAACGCGCCATCGGTCAATTTGACCGGTACGGAAGTGAAGGGGTTAAGTATACAGTATATGTGACTGGCTGTTAGAATGATTAAGTTCCCTCCCTGCTCAATGGCCCTGAGTGCTGAGAATAGGTAACATTTTTAGCTCTTCTGAGCCAAAGGCTCAAAGAGCTAATGCTATGGCCATTTGTGTGGTGTGCGTTAACTTTTTAGAATATGGGCCATAACTCAAGAACCCCTTGGCCAATCATTGTCAAATTTGTCACAGGGTATCCTTGGCCAAAGGGCTACCATTTATACTTAAATAAGGGTTGGGACCCTTAAACAAGGGGAGATAATCAGGAAAACAAAAACAAAAGTACTGGTTGCTAAAAAATCATCTCCATAACCACCAGGCAGATTTTTTCACCAAACTTACATACAAGGATCAGGATATGTTGAAGATTAGAATTTGCACGGGGAATTACCCTGGGGCAAAGGGTGTGGTCTTAAGGTCACTTCAAAGTTGACCTAAATTTACAATTAATAAAAACATTTATATTTTGCTTACTATAAGGACTAGGATCATCAAATCTTGTAAGTTGATGCATCATAGGACTTCACATCATGTTAACTCAAAAGTAGGCCACAGTGACCTTCTTTTTTTTAATTTTGTGGGCATTTGTTTTCAAATTGATTTAAAGGCATATTTTGGACACTTTAAGGCCTATGATCATCAAACTTTGTCAATTAATGCTTCTTGGGTCCTTGAACAACGTCAACTTAAAAGTAGGTGACCGTGACCTACTTTTTGAACGTTATGACTTTATGACTTATCCTTTTTGAAATATTTAATCCCATTATTTCAGACACTGAGAGGGTAAGAATCATCAAATCTTGTAAGTTGCTGCATCTTGGGACCTTAAAACATTTTTATGAAAAAGTAGGTAACTGTGACCTACTTTTTGAATTTTGCAGGCATTTGTTTTCAAATTGTTGAAAAGGCATATTTTGATTACCTTCAGACCTATGATCATCAAACTTGGTCAGCAGATGCATCTTGGGACTTTGAAAAATGTCCACGAAAATGTAGGTCACGATGACCTACTCTCGACATTTTATGGCTATATTTAAGTATGTCAGGTATTTATTGGCTTAGAATCATCAAACTTTGTGAGTTGATGCATCTTGGGTTTTGGGAGAGTGACGACCAAAAAGTAGGTCATGGTGACCTGCTTTTGACATTTCATGGCTTTATTTTAAGTACCTCCGGTACTTATTGGCTTAGAATCATCAAACTTTGTCAGTTGGTGCATCTTGTATTTCGGAGAATGTCGACCAGCTAGTAGGTCACGGTGACCTACTTTTGATATTTTATGGCCTTATTTAAGTATATCAGGTACTTATTGGCTTAGAATCATCAAACTTTTTCAGTTGATGCATCTTGGGTTTTCAAGAAACGCAAACCAAAAATTACTTCACCTTGAACTACTTTTGACATTTTATGGCTATATTTTCATATCTCCAGTACTGGTTGACCTAGAGTTGTTAAACTTTGTCAGTTGGGGCATCTTTGGCTTTCGGAGAATGTCGACTACAAAGTAGGTCACAGAGACCTACTTTTGAATATCTCAGGTACTAATTGGCTGAGGATCATCCAACTACGAGGGTTGTCCGTAAAGTTCGTGGACAGGCTCAGAATTGAATAAAAATTGCGTCATTGATATCTATTATTAGCATATTTTTAATCTTTTACTAAATGTGAACTGAGAAATGTAAAATATGATTCAATTTCAAATGTTTAATTAAAATTATGACTTCATAATAAGACTTGGTATGGACACCCGGAGCACCGCAAAATTTTGATTAAAAAATTATTTATCACTTTATAAATTTCATTTGTATTTTATAGAATAATGCAGAAATTTGGATGACTTTTACATTATGAAGTTGACAAAAGTTATCACTTCAAACCTGCAAAATTTGAACATTCAAAGTTGTAAAATGGCTGAGCAATCAAAGTTAGAACATGTTAAGACGGATCGGAATTGTTCAAAAAAGGGAGGTTTTCGGAATAGGTGGAGCAGTGAGCAGTAAAAATTCTGCGTAGACATCGGATAAATACATACAGAGACCAATACATTTTGTAAACAACCGGGAAAAACTTAGTAAAAGAAGCTGTACATTAGCATTTAAGTGATATATAATATTTTCGGACAGAAGGAACAGTTTGCAGGATGACATGCGTGAAGGAGAACCACCATTCCGAGATCGCAGTGCTGTAGAAAATTAACTTTGCAACGTGAATTTACCTTTTTTCCATTAATAAAATCGTTTTTACACGGAGAGAGGTTAGAGGATTGAAGGATATGAGACAGGCATTGTTGAATATTATTTTAATATGAAACCTGAAGATTTTGTGCACATATTTATGACTGGTTAAAGCGACATAAGAAATGTATTGAATGAAACGGTGACTACATTGAGAAAAGTTACATGTACTCATTTAATGCATTTGATGTCAGGTAACGTCAAGAATTTTCAGTTTAGTGCTCCGGGTATGAGTGTGTGTCTTTTTTAATCTGATAAAAATATAAATATTTATGCTTAGATTTTGTTGAAAACTTGCATGTTAATAAAGTGAAACATGAATTTAATGAAGATAATAGTTTCATATATTTTATCAATGTTTGTCAGTAATTAGCAATGTTGTCCACGAACTTTACAGACAACCCTCGTATGTCAGATGATGTATCTTAGGTTTCGAAAATTGTCTAATAAAAATTAGATCACAGTGACCTACTTTTGACATTTTATGGCTATATTTAAATTAGGGATGTCAAATCGGTCAATTTTTAATACTCGGTTACTCGGACGATTTTCCGATCGAGTACCCGGGTACTCGGTAAAAGTCTAAATAAATATGAACAAGTTAATTGATAACTGTAAAACATTGGAAAAAAAACCACATGGTCTGATGGGAGGCTTACCTGTTAATGTGTTGTAACAATTATGACAACTTTGTGCCCGACGAAATTCAATCTAACATTTTTTTAAGTCCAATTTATTTATCAGATAAATACGAGAAATAAAATCATAAATGGCTCACAGTGGTTTTGTTTTAAAAAAAAATAATCTGTACCCTAATTGTAATGTAACTCTATCAGTGCGTTTGACGTATAAGTGATAAGTCGTCAGAGCTACATGTACAGTATCAACTTGATCAAGTTCTAGCGGATTTACGATCTTCGTACACTTTTTGATCATTGATTTCATTAAAATTACGAGACGGTATGTTGTAGTTTGGTGCAACGATGGACATAAGATTTTTAAAACCTTTGGATTCAACCATTTGCATTAATTGGCAAGTAATCAAACGCATCCATATCAACAATCGCACGTGCAATATCGTCTGTCTCTTTCCCGGAGAATCTACGGCTTCTGGAGAATTGACAAAATTATCTAATTTATTTAAACATAATAGACCTTAAACGATGTTCAATGAAAACAAATAATTAGAGCAAACTAAACATAAGGGTAGAAGACAGCCGAAGGTGAGAAAAGCCAGGTAGGTAGCAGGTGCTTGGTCACGGTAATTACTGTATAAACACTGCCACAGGCGACAACAGTCATTTGGAGGCTCAGGAAACCCTAATTACTGTATGTACAAGTGCAATGAACATTTTTCGTTTAAAACCGATATTTTAATGCATAAATAAATAAGCTTAGAAATATTTTAAAATATACATCCAAGTAACCGAGTACCGATTTTAGTATTCGATACTCGGACGTTCGATCGAGTACCCGGTTAACCGGGTACTCGTTGACATCCCTAATTTAAATATATCGAGTACTTATTGGCTTAGAATAATCAAACTTTTTCAGTTGATGCATTTAGTGTTTTTCAAGAATGTAGACCAAAAAGTAGATCAAGGTGACCTACTCTTGAATATCTCGAATACTTATTGGCTTAGAATCTTCAATCTTTGTCTTTTAATGCATCTTGAGTCCTTAGAAAACGTCAATCTTAAAGTAGGTCACTATGACCTACTTATGGGTTTTTTTATAGCTTAATTAAAATTTCTTCAGTCCTAATTGGCTAAGAATCATCAAACTTTGTCAGCTGATGCAATTTGGGTCTTAGGATAAGGATTAGAGTCTTCAAATAGAAGTGATAGGTTGTACAATTTATCAGAAGAGCGATTCAAGGCCCTTGGGCCTCATGTTGCCAGTGGAGGGGTCTCTGTATGAGTGAAAAATTCTTAAGAAAAATGTGAAAAAATCTCATTAAGAACAGCAAAGCCATGATTAGTCATATTGATGTGAAAGCATCCTTAGATAGTTAAAATTTAAGTTTGTTCAAATCATGACCCCAGGTGGTAGGGTGGGGTACAATGGTATATCAAAGTTTTCCATAGGAATATATAAGGAAAAATATTCTTCTTCAGAGCAGCAAAGCCATGATTAGTCAGTCATATGGATATGGAAGTATTTTGATTTAGTGTAGGTTTAAATTTGCTCAAATCATGACCCCTAGGGGATAGGTTTGGTGGAACATTGGGGGATCAAAGTACATTTGTAGATCAACATATAAAAGAAAAAAATCTGCTGAAGAAAAACAGGGCTATATGTTGACTCCAGTTAGCGATGTGGCCTATGGGCCTCTTGTTATTTGCTTGTGACAGTGTTTGGCTTTGATTGCTTTCAGTGGAATACTTTGGGGTTACTTTGAGAAGTTTAAGACCACAGTACTGACAACACTGACAGAGTTTATCCAGATCCTGACCCAGGAGCTTCATAAACACGGTGTACAACCCAGCAGTACACAGAGGGTACAGGCCTACATCTTAGACAATGCAAAGCATCAGGTCAGTCAACAAAAATGAGGGAGAAGATGGGAGTCCTTTAACTTTTCACATTTCCAACATTTTAAAATAAGGAGAAATAAATGTGTTTGTGAATTACTTTAAATAAGTTTATAGTTGAAATAATTCTTGTAGTTGACAGAGATGGTGGCTGCTCTTAAAGACTTTGTGACAGAGAGACAGAGGGATGCCAATCGTGTTCTGACACCTGTAATTCAGGTAAGCTGTTTTATGAAGAGTGTTATGGAAAATACTCTCAAGGTTACTGGAGTAATTTAAGGGTCTGAAAAATACTCAGATATGACTGAATAGACTCCAACAGGAAAAAATAGGAAAGAATGAACAGAAAACTGATCTTTCTAGATGGCTATGAACATTATTTATATATAAATATTAGATGAATCTATATCTATATCCTTTGTTATACATGTATATTCATGGTAAAGAATTTTACATTAATACATGTATAAATTTAAATAAATTGCTGTTCCAGGAGAACATGGCTCCAACCTACGAGGCTTGTGCTGCAGAGAGTGGACCGGGAACCTACCAGAGAATGAAGGACGGCATGGCCGCTGGAATCGACATAGGGAGGTACTATATGTTTGATGATGCCTCGCGCAACCTACTGCAGGAGTTGGAGCAAATCAAGGTAGGTGGATTCCTGACATAGCTTTGATAAGATTCACCCCGTACAAATACTGACTGTGTTAAATTTGGATTGAATGTTTCCATTGTGTTTTGATTATATAAGAAGAATGGTGAAGTGCATGTAATGTATAGATTCAAATAACATCTGGTTTTAAAACCAACTGCCTTTTAAAACAGGTAAAATAAATCATTTTAATAAGAGGCTTTAAATTAGTAAAATACAAGTACAGTTATAAATTGTACATGAATATTTGCCATGGCAATAAGCAGGATACTTGTGTATTTATGAAGTAAATTAACTTAAGATGAAAACCTCTTATTCAGGTTCAGGTAACGGAGATAGTACGGGGAGTGTGTCGTAGTCTTTGCTCGACTCTACAGGTGGCTTTTGAGCCCCTTTGGGAGGCCCCTGGGACCTGCCTGGAACTGAGAGACGTACTCGTACCATGTAAGGAAATAAATAACATCAAAATATTCCAGCACAGCTGATACCTTCCATCGCAAGAAATGATAAAGTGTTCTCTTTCAACCAAAACACACACATTTCTAGTTACATGTTCCTGTATGTTGTTGTAGGTGTTCGGGAGATTTCACTCCAGGTGCGCGCCATAATGGAGGAGGCCGGAGTGAGGGTACCTATAACTACTACAGGGCCACCTCCTGTCACAACCACTAATGGGACTCCTGTCCAATCAGAAGTCACTAATGCACAAGGAAATCAGGTTTGTCTTCCAAAATTAATGTATTAAATTTCATATCCTGTTTGAGATCTCGATCATTACAAATCTGTCAAACATTGTGAGGAAGTCAAGATTTCATTCATGATAAGGATGTATTTTGCTGATCAGGTGTCAGCCATTTTTATGAAACATTTCTAGCGTATATCTCATCAACATATTTATTTATTCATCTTGTTATTCAAAGATTCCTTTGATTTATTTGACAAAAAGCAAAGCTTCCATAACATTCTTTGAAAGATTAATTTGGTTCTGTATATCCCTAGGATATACAGAGAACAGCTGGTAACTCGTTAGAATTGCCATCGAGTTTTGTTCTTGAGGAACTTCAAGCCGGATCATCCGATTCAGAACTTCTCACCTCCATCAAAGTGGAACCATCACTAAGTGTGCCCAAAATCAAGAAAGAAATGACAGGTAATGACATTACTCAGTGTAGAGAAGGTAGATTCGTGTTTAGTAATCACTAACAGAAGGTCTGAACCCCTTATCTTTAAAGGCAACACAAGGTTCATTTTTCATTAAAGTTGCTTGCATTGTCCAGTTCTGGATGAAAAATTATATTTCTTGTTACTCTTGAAAAAATAATTTTCCATAGAAAGTTTAAAAACTTTGGAGAAATATTAATGTACATGTATTAAGTAAGTATAAGAAGGTGTAATTGTCAAGTAAAATGAAAAATAAATTAGAGAGAATGCATGTGCAGTGACTTGGTAAACAAATTTCACAGTAGAATTCACACAACACACGGTAGTCCTAAATCTCTGTCTCTGGGTGTTTAAATAAAGGCTAAACATGTCCAAAAGCACCAAATTACTGATTATACCGTTTTTCTTTTCAGTCTCTACCCAGAATGCCACACCTGTCCGATTCTCCTCTATAAAATCTGAACCCTCGTCTGGAATACAGGTTTGTTGTTTTTGTGGACACCCCGGGACTAACCCTGGTGAATGTGATAAGTGTCGTGTCCCCCGACGCTCCCCCCAAGGTGTCCAGTTCAGGTGTTGTCGGTTTTGTCATCGGATGGGAGAGAACGTTCACATCTGTGAATTCTGTAAGCGGTGTCGTCGCTGTTTGAATGTCGTCACATCTCCCAAGCAGCAGTGTGAGATCTGCCAAGGTAACAGTCTTATGTCAGATGTCAAATGATTTAAGTAAGCACAAATTATATTTTGTCAGTTTGTTCAAAAATGGTGTTCAGGTATAAATTTTGAGCCTGTAAGTTATCACAAAAAACTTGTGAAATTACTTTTAATTTAGTTCTTCTAAAACACACCAAAATCAAAAAAAAGGAAAAACATTCTTATTTCAATTATCTTTGGAAAGAAAAATATGAATTAAGACATGTGTTTGCCCTATTCTTTACGAGATTTATAATAAGTGATCCCATGTTTTTTTAATTATTAAAGCTCCAAGATCAAGGAATCCAGGATCAACTGGCAAAATTTCCACAAATCATCAACATGTGTCCCAAACCATCACCTCTGCTAATGTTCAAACAAATAAACCGTCCACTCCAGCAGGTGCAGATCGTAACAATGTGTCCTCCACACACCCACCAAATGTAGTTCACCCACCAAATGTTGTTCAGCACAATTCCTTCCCAACTAGCTCATCTTACCTAGTGATGTCTTCCATACTTCCACCCAATGTTGGTCAAACCTCCAGTAGAGCTCGCCACCCATCGACACAAACCATCAGTGGCAGAGGTCAAGGTTACCATGCAGTGCTTACAAACAGTGGCAGGGGTCAGGGTGACCATGCAGTGCTTAATACATTAAAGAGACTAGCTGATAAAGTGAGGTCACCCAAACATCAGCTGTCTGCTTCCCAGCCTGTCCAGCAGGGCAGAAACATGACCCCTCGTTCTCAGGGACCAATGGTGTCACAGACAGGTAGTCTTACTCCACGGTCGAGGAATGATGGACGAGTTAGTACGCCGTATAGCAGACTCAGCAGCAGCCAACCATCTCATCAGAAAGATCAGGAACATGCCCTCAAAACACCCTCCAGAGTGCCAAAAAATTGTAAGTACCGTATAATCCCTATTAACCGCCCCGGGCGCTTAGAAAATTAAAAAAAGGGGGCGGTTATTTTGGTCTTCTCTTTGTAATATTTAATATCATATCTTAACTTCAAAAAATATTTAAAAAAAAAATAAATTCAAAGAATCTCCAAAATAATGTCTAAGTTTACTTTAAATGAAGATAATCCACCCAAATTATGCTAAATGAATCATTTTCCACCAAGAAATTGGATAATAAACAAGTTTCATTTTCAATTCGTTCAAATTTTTGCAGACATTTGATACGATTCTAGTCTTTCTAGATAATTTTAATCACTGTACAGGGGGCCCTTATTTCCTGACAATTGAAAAAGACCCAAGGGGGCGCTTATAGGGGCAGGGGCGGTTAATAGGGATTACACGGTAATCGGTAATTATAATATGAAGAAAATAAGCTATTTTTATATGTATATTTATTTTTACTCTAAAGGAAAGAATAACCACTAAAAATTATTTATATTAGTTTTTCCCATTTAATCTCAATATAGTGAAACACAATTATTTTTTAATGTATTATAAAGTGACAATTTGTAAAAGTGGTGTTTTGAAGGAAACATTGCCTAATTTAAACTCTACATATTTTTTATTTGATTCAGTAGGATTTAAGGACATGAGGAACAATCCTTAAGGGGAGAAAGAATGGATTTATGTAGCTGAAGGAGAAAATGGATGTCGTATAGATTGTAATGGATGCCACAGATGTAGTGGAATTGGTTGTAGTGCTTCAGGCAGTGCTTTTATACAGATGCATTTTTATATCTTTTTTCAGTCATAGTAAAAAAAATTATGCCCTGCTACAAACTCTTTGAGCTATATTGCTGATTAAATTTGAATAATCTGGTGCTTTTATATTGTAAATACTGCTTAATTTTGATGTTTTTTTCTTCACCTTTTAAATGTGTCGCAATAAACTTCATTTTGTTAAATTCAGAGAATCAATTATTAGAGGTCTGTAAATTAAATACCTGGAAGTGGTTGATATTTGACTTTTTTATGGTTTATATTTTTCAATTTTACTTTTAGTAAATGGCAACTGTATTAAGTTAGATCAATGTTAATGATCTGGTCATATTTTTACCATCCAGAGTGTTCTAACAAGACTATTGTAAAGAATGGCAATTTAGTTTATAGGAGTTGAATTGAGTTAATTAGGATTTACTTTGGAGAAATGAACTAATTTCTTGCATTTATAAATTAAGTTTACCTGTTTGCAATCTATTTTTATATTTTATTGTGCATATTTCCATAAACTTTTCAATATTTTAAACTCTGACACATCAAATACAATCTTGTAAAATTTGGTATATGGTATTTATGGACAGAGCATTAAGAGAAATTTGTGAAGGGAAATGAGTTTGATGAAGCAATTTTTTTCAGAAATATAATTTTTTTTCATCATGTTTATAAAGAACGAGTTCAGACTCCTTTTCTAAAAAAAATTTAATAGATTTTACATTTATTTTCGTATCATTTCAAGAATGGAGTCTAACTCAATAATATTCAATTTTTTTAAAGCACCAATATACCCATTTTCAACTAGATATGTTAAACTGTCACCCAAGAAAACTGATTAGCAATTAATAAGTTGAATAAAATTAATAAATGAATTGGGTTAAAAATGACATTGCTGACAATATTGGTTCAAAAAATATATTTCTGCAAACAAAATGTCTCAGAGAAGGGTAATATCCTCACCTTGTTTGCCCTTGTTCTTTAATTCAGTGTCAAAATATTCTGATTGGAACATATTTGCCCTGTTCCCAAGGTTGCATTTCATGAATTAAGGTGAAATTAGACTGTATCAGTCATGTTGATTGTGCTTTTTCTGTTGGTGTAGAATGGTTTATTGTACTTTTAGTAGTAAGTACATAACGTAATATCCAAAGTATAACTACTGGGATCCTAGGTGTTATACATGCAAGTCAAAATCTTACATGAGTGTGTCAATTGAAATCGATCTGTTTTATGTTTTAATGTTTTATTCTGAACAAATGGCTTATTTATGAAAATATTTCATGCAGCTGCCCTCTATGAAAAAAAGGCTAAAATTGTTCAATTGAAAAACCAGATTTATTTAACAGACTACTTAAATTGGATGAGCTAATTTAAACATTTTCCGAAAGACAATGCTAAAACTTGCGTGAAAATTACCTTGGGTAATATTCATAAAATGTGAGTTCAGTACCAGTAACAAGGTCTCTTTTTTGAAATCTAAACATCAAGAAGTAAAACTTTTAATTGTAAATTATTCATGAAGCAGGATGTTTCATTTATTCTGTAGAGAAGTTTAGATCGGGTGAACTTTGTAGCCCATAGCTCTTGATGATATGTGAATGTAGTCTCTATTTCCTCAAACAGTTAGAAGGTTGTAATTTTATTGGACATGTTACTGTTATGTACATATTTTCTAGCTAGTTTCTGTTTTTCATTCAATATGGATGGTGCTTTCATTTGATTGTGTTCTGTTAATGCAAGTGTAAGAGTCAATCTGTTCAGTGTTATAAAAATCAAAAGATTGATATTGCTCCATGTAATCATTCACTTTAACTAATAGTTGTAGGAAATCACTATGCTTTTTCAAGACTTGTTCATATGTTTTATATATTTTATGGTGCTATTAACCCAGATGATTAAAACATGTTTACTAATTTTTGTTCATTATGAAAAAGGGCATTTTAAATACTATATATCAAGTACTCTCCATGGAGAGGTCAAAGGTGAAGGAGAGTGCTTATTGTCTATATGTAGTACTCTCTGTGGAGAGGTCAAAGGAGAAGGAGAGTGCTTATTGTCAATATGTAGTAATCTCTGTGGAGAGGTCGAAGGTGAAGGAGAGTGCTTATTGTCAATATGTCAAGTACTCTCCATGGAAAGGTGAGAGAGAGTGCTTATTGACAATATGTCAAGTACTCTCCATGGAGAGGTCAAAGGTGAAGGTAGCTGCAGATCTGTAGCTCTCCGAAAAAATATCGATAGACCGGAGAGCTACAGTGCCACCCATTGAAAAAACTGTATATTTATTGCGCACAAAAAAGTGCGCTCGATTCTTGATTAATTTTTCCAAATTCTTACCTAAATTGCAAATAAAGGAAGATTTCAAAAAATTACTCTCTCCTCTATCAAGTTCTCTCGTAGTTGACATCTGAACGAAGCATATTGGACAGAATTATCTTTGAAACCAAAATGGCAGTTAAAAAAAGCGAAATGTCGGATGATTGCAATATCAGTGCCAGGAGGACTATTAACAACAATTATGAGGAATGTTTTGTTGTGGAAAGAGTCAAAGAATATGTTAGGAACACACGGTTAGTAATATTTTGAGATTACAGCTTTAAAAACATGGAGAAATAAATCGAAAACCGAACGCATTTTTTTATGCGCAATAAATACATGTATACAGTTTTTTCAATGGGTGGTTCTGTAGCTCTCCGGTCTATCAATAATTTTTTTTCGGAGAGCTGTAGATCTGCAGCTAAGGTGAAGGAGAGTGTTTATTGTCAATGTGTCAAGTACTTTCCATGGAAAGGTGAAAGAGAATGCTTATTGACAATATGTCAAGTACTCTCCATGTAGAGGTCAAAGGTGATGGAGAGTGCTTATTGACAATATGTTGTACTCTCCATGGAGATGTCAAAGGTGAAGGAGAGTGCTTAATGTCAATTAGTCTCCATGGAAAGATCGAAGAAGAAGGAGTGTGCTTTTGTAAATATTTCAAGTAATCTCCAAGAAGAGGTCAAAGGTGAAAGAGAGTGCTTATTGTTAATTTACGAGTGCTCTCAATGGAGAAGTGAAAGAGTGAAACATATGGAAATAGCGAACAGTATTCAAGATCAAAAATCTTTAAACTAATGCAAAACAGGAGCAGAGTAAACACGGACCTCCAAAACATTAGAGGTGCCGTGTGGGATTAGGTGCCATGGAGGAGTGAGCATCCCATGCCGACTGGTCACACCCGCCGTGTGCTCCTTGTCATGATCAGGAAATAACGGAAAAATCCGTCTTCAATTCAGTGTATAAATAATGGACTAACAATTAGTATGAAAAACGTCAGTCAGCATTTGACACCATGATAAATTGTATTTGCTGACAAAGTCATTGTATCGACTATAGAACTTGCGAAATGATGAATTTAAACGAGACTGTCGATATTCGTAGAGCATGCTCTTGCCTATCGAATCAACTGAGATATATAAACTCCGTATGCAAATGATGAAGGTATATTGCTGCTTAAGTAAGTGAAGTTGACGATAGAAAAGTCATCGCATGACCATTTAAATTAATGGAAAAGTATGGAAGAGATGTGTCAGACTCTGTGGTATCTTTTATCTCAAGCTCCCCAGGATATCGTATCGATATAGGAATGGAAATTACCATTGTTAATTGACAGTACGTCGTCGATATATCTAAGTGTCGAGTTGAAGGCCACAGCAGGTGTTTTCTTCTTAATACACGCATAAGATTTTGGACAAATTCTGCCTCAAATGAATATAAAAATAGGTCTGCTAATAACATGGCATAAATTCCAATAGATTGTTGGAAGACCTGGTCTTCAAAAACCACAGAGATATTGTTAATCAGAAACCCTGCAAGCATCTTTTTTATGTCATCTTTGGAGTTTTTGTGTGTGCAAGCAAAATGTGTTTTAACAAAATAATTTTGCAAAAAGAAATTACCAATGACCAGGTAAGTAAATTTACGAGTTTCATTTTTATTGAAAAAGCAGCTGTCAATTTCAGAAAGACTGGACTTTAATTTATCGTGGGGAATGGTTGTGTAAAAAGTCGTAAGTTTTTAAGCTGTTGATTTTGGTAAAATTTTGCGATTCCAAATTGTCCAGAATTTCTTTGGAATATTTGAGTATCCACATCTGATTCATAACACTTCTGGAATATATTGTTGCACAGTACTCTTTAAGTTTCACCTACACTAATGTTAATATCTTAGTGAGGAATAAAGAAAGAGGCCCGGTTGAACATTTACTGGAACAGACTTAGGCAATGTATCTTTGTAAGGATTCATATGAAGTTAGTACATTTTAGTTCTTTGGGATATTAAAAATATTCAAAAGTGACGTATGATTGTGAAAAATTTCTTCCTTAAAAGCCGTGTCACACTGTCACGATTTTTGCTACGATTCCACACGACTGACAAAAAACCATAAATCGCCGACAATCGCCACGCTAGCCTAGCATTTTTTTGACGGAGGGTGATTTTTTTCCAGTGTATCACGATACGACTACGATGTCCGCTCAACAATGTACGAGGCTTATACGACAACAGAACGAGTTTTGGCGAGTAATGTACGAACAAAGACGATAAAATAACGAACACAGTACGATCCTTATACGATAAGACACGAATTTAAACGATGCTCTTACGAATACCTACAAGTCTGTACGGTGCCTATACGATATTCCCACGAACAGTGACGAGTTCTTACGAATATACTTGGTTTGAGTAGATATATAGAGAGAGGGTTGCTTGAAATTTCGAAGTTGTATAATTATTGCAGTAGCTACCGTGCGGAGGCTTCATCTGCTGCAATATTGGGGAACTGGAACAGAATATTGCAGAATATGACAAGGCACTCTATATATCTACTCAAGGCATCGTTTGACTCATTGTGCTTTATAGATTATAAGGATAGTACTGTGTTCGTTATTTTATCGTCTTTTTGTTGGTACATTACTCGCGAAAACTCGTTGCTGTTGTCGTATAAGCCTCATACATTGTTGAGCGGACGTCGTAGTAGTTATCGTGAGATACGCTGGAAAAAAATCACCCTCCGGTCAAAAAAATGCTAGGCTAACGTAGCGATGCAGGCGATTTATGGTTTTTTGTCAGTCGTGTGGAATCGTAGCAAAAATCGTGACGGTTTAACCAGCTTTAAGGAAGAAATTTTTCACAATCCACTACGTCACTTAAAATTTTTAATATCCCAAAGAACTAAAATGTACTAACTTCATATGAATCCTTACAAAGATACATTGCCTAAGCCTGTTCCAGTAAATGTTCAACCGGCTGCTTCTTTATTCCTCACTAAGATATTAACATTAGTGTAGGTGAAACTTAAAGAGTACTGTGCAACAATATATTCCAGAAGTGTTATGAGAATGTGGATACTCAAATATTCAAAGAAAATTGTGGACAATTTGGAATCGCAAAATTTTACCAAAATCAACAGCTTAAAAACTTAACGACTTTTTGCACAACCATTCCCCACGATAAATTAAAGTGCAGTCTTTCTGAAATTGACAGCTGTATTTTCAAATAAAAATGAAACTGAGTAAATTTACTTACCTGAGTATGGGTAATTTCTTTTTGCAAAATTACAGTTTTTTTGTTAAAACACATTTTGCTTGCACACACAAAAACTCCAAAGATGACATAAAAAGATGCTTGCAGGGTTTCTGATTAACAATATCTCTGTGGTTTTTGTAACCAGGTCTTCCAACAATCTATTGGAATCCCCATGGATTATTAGCAGACCTATTTTTATATTCATATGAGGCAAATTTTGTGCAAAATCTTATGCGTGAAAATTAAGAAGAAAACACCTGCTGTGGCCTTCAACTCGACACTTAGATATATCGACGACGTACTGTCGAATTAACAATGGTAATTTCCATTCCTATATCGATACGATATCCTGGGGAGCTTGAGATAAAAAGATACAGCAGAGTCTGACACATCTCTTGCTTTTACATTAATTAAGGAATGGTAATGCGATGACTTTTCTATCAGTCAACTTCACTTACTTAAGCGGCGATATTGCTTCATCATTTTGCAGTACGGAGTTATATATCTCACTTCAATTCGATAGGCAACAGTCTACGAATATCGACAAGTACTGTCGTTTAATTTATCATTTCGCAAGTTATAGTCGATACAATGACTTTGTCAGCAAAATAATTATCATGGTGTCAAATGTAGCTGACGTTTTTTCATACTAATTGTTAGTCCATTATTTATACACTGAATTGAAGACGGATTTTTCCGTTATTTCCTGATCATGACAAGGAGCACACGGCGGGTGTGACCAGTGGCATGGGATGCTCACTCCTCCATGGCACCTAATCCCACACGGCACCTCTAATGTTTTGGAGGTCCGTGTTTACTCTGCTCCTGTTTGCATTAGTTTAAAGATTTTTAATCTGATACTCTTCGCTCTTTCCATATGTTTCACTCTTTCACTTTCATTAGAGCGCTGGATTAATTAACAATTGTCAGCACTCTCTTAAGCTTGACCTCTTTTACAAAAGCCGCCGCTCCTTCTTCTTCGATCTTCCCGTGGAAGCTGATTGACATTCAGCGCTCTCCTTCACCTTTGACATCTCCATGGAGAGTACAACATATTGTTAATAAGCACTCTCCATCACCTTTGACCTCTACATGGAGAGTACTTTAACATATTGTAAATAAGCATTCTCTTTCACCTTTCCATGGAAAGTACTTGACACATTGACAATAAACACTCTCCTTCACCTTAGCTGCAGATCTACAGCTCTCCGAAAAAAAAATATTGATAGACCGGAGAGCTACAGACCGCACCCATTTGAAAAAACTGTATACATGTATTTATTGCGCATAAAAAAATGCGTTCGGTTTTCGATTTATTTCTCCATGTTTTTAAAGCTGTAATCTCAAAATATTACTAACCGTGTGTTCCTAACATATTCTTTGACTCTTTCCACAACAAAACATTCCTCATAATTGTTGTTAATAGTCCTCCTGGCACTGATATTGCAATCATCCGACATTTCGCTTTTTTTTAACTGCCATTTTGGTTTCAAAGATAATTCAGTCCAATGTGCTTCGTTCAGATGTCAACTACGAGAGAACTTGATAGAGGAGAGAGTAATTTTTTGAAATCTTTCATTCTTTGCAATGGAGGTAAGAATTTGGAAAAATTAATCAAGAATCGAGCGCACTTTTTTGTGCGCAATAAATATACGGTTTTTTTTCAATGGGTGGCACTGTAGCTCTCCGGTCTATCGATATTTTTGGAGAGCTACAGATCTGCAGCTACCTTCACCTTTGACCTCTCCATGGGAATCTGACATATTGTCAATAAGCACTCTCTCTCACCTTTCCATGGAGAGTACTTGACATATTGACAATAAGCACTCTCCTTCACCTTCGACCTCTCACAGAGATTACTACATATTGACAATAAGCACTCTCCTTCACCTTTGACCTCTCCACAGAGAGTACTACATATAGACAATAAGCACTCTCCTTCACCTTTGACCTCTCCATGGAGAGTACTTGATATATAGTATTTAAAATGCCCTTTTTCATAATAAACAAAAATTAGTAAACATGTTTTAATCATCTGGGTTAATAGCACCATAAAATATATAAAACATATGAACAAGTCTTGAAAAAGCATAGTGATTTCCTACAACTATTAGTTAAAGTGAATGATTACATGGAGCAATATCAATCTTTTGATTTTTATAACACTGAACAGATTGACTCTTACACTTGCATTAACAGAACACAATCAAATGAAAGCACCATCCATATTGAATGAAAAACAGAAACTAGCTAGAAAATATGTACATAACAGTAACATGTCCAATAAAATTACAACCTTCTAACTGTTTGAGGAAATAGAGACTACATTCACATATCATCAAGAGCTATGGGCTACAAAGTTCACCCGATCTAAACTTCTCTACAGAATAAATGAAACATCCTGCTTCATGAATAATTTACAATTAAAAGTTTTACTTCTTGATGTTTAGATTTCAAAAAAGAGACCTTGTTACTGGTACTGAACTCACATTTTATGAATATTACCCAAGGTAATTTTCACGCAAGTTTTAGCATTGTCTTTCGGAAAATGTTTAAATTAGCTCATCCAATTTAAGTAGTCTGTTAAATAAATCTGGTTTTTCAATTGAACAATTTTAGCCTTTTTTTCATAGAGGGCAGCTGCATGAAATATTTTCATAAATAAGCCATTTGTTCAGAATAAAACATTAAAACATAAAACAGATCGATTTCAATTGACACACTCATGTAAGATTTTGACTTGCATGTATAACACCTAGGATCCCAGTAGTTATACTTTGGATATTACGTTATGTACTTACTACTAAAAGTACAATAAACCATTCTACACCAACAGAAAAAGCACAATCAACATGACTGATACAGTCTAATTTCACCTTAATTCATGAAATGCAACCTTGGGAACAGGGCAAATATGTTCCAATCAGAATATTTTGACACTGAATTAAAGAACAAGGGCAAACAAGGTGAGGATATTACCCTTCTCTGAGACATTTTGTTTGCAGAAATATATTTTTTGAACCAATATTGTCAGCAATGTCATTTTTAACCCAATTCATTTATTAATTTTATTCAACTTATTAATTGCTAATCAGTTTTCTTGGGTGACAGTTTAACATATATCTAGTTGAAAATGGGTATATTGGTGCTTTAAAAAAATTGAATATTATTGAGTTAGACTCCATTCTTGAAATGATACGAAAATAAATGTAAAATCTATTAAATTTTTTTTAGAAAAGGAGTCTGAACTCGTTCTTTATAAACATGATGAAAAAAAATTATATTTCTGAAAAAAATTGCTTCATCAAACTCATTTCCCTTCACAAATTTCTCTTAATGCTCTGTCCATAAATACCATATACCAAATTTTACAAGATTGTATTTGATGTGTCAGAGTTTAAAATATTGAAAAGTTTATGGAAATATGCACAATAAAATATAAAAATAGATTGCAAACAGGTAAACTTAATTTATAAATGCAAAAAATTAGTTCATTTCTCCAAAGTAAATCCTAATTAACTCAATTCAACTCCTATAAACTAAATTGCCATTCTTTACAATAGTCTTGTTAGAACACTCTGGATGGTAAAAATATGACCAGATCATTAACATTGATCTAACTTAATACAGTTGCCATTTACTAAAAGTAAAATTGAAAAATATAAACCATAAAAAAGTCAAATATCAACCACTTCCAGGTATTTAATTTACAGACCTCTAATAATTGATTCTCTGAATTTAACAAAATGAAGTTTATTGCGACACATTTAAAAGGTGAAGAAAAAAACATCAAAATTAAGCAGTATTTACAATATAAAAGCACCAGATTATTCAAATTTAATCAGCAATATAGCTCAAAGAGTTTGTAGCAGGGCATAATTTTTTTTACTATGACTGAAAAAAGATATAAAAATGCATCTGTATAAAAGCACTGCCTGAAGCACTACAACCAATTCCACTACATCTGTGGCATCCATTACAATCTATACAACATCCATTTTCTCCTTCAGCTACATAAATCCATTCTTTCTCCCCTTAAGGATTGTTCCTCATGTCCTTAAATCCTACTGAATCAAATAAAAAATATGTAGAGTTTAAATTAGGCAATGTTTCCTTCAAAACACCACTTTTACAAATTGTCACTTTATAATACATTAAAAAATAATTGTGTTTCACTATATTGAGATTAAATGGGAAAAACTAATATAAATAATTTTTAGTGGTTATTCTTTCCTTTAGAGTAAAAATAAATATACATATAAAAATAGCTTATTTTCTTCATATTATAATTACCGATTACCGTATAATCCCTATTAACCGCCCCTACCCCTATAAGCGCCCCCTTAGGTCTTTTTCAATTGTCAGGAAATAAGGGCCCCCTGTACAGTGATTAAAATCATCTAGAAAGACTAGAATCGTATCAAAAGTCTGCAAAAAATTTGAAGGAATTGAAAATGAAACTTGTTTATTATCAAATTTTTTGGTGGAAAATGATTCATTTAGCATACTATGGGTGGATTATCTTCATTTAAAGTAAAGTTAGACATTATTTTGGAGATTCTTTGAATTTATTTTTTTTTTTTCAAAATATTTTTTGAAGTTAAGATATGTTAATATTACAAAGAGAATACCAAAATAACTGCCCCCTTTTTTTAATTTTCTAAGCGCCCGGGGCGGTTAATAGGGATTATACGGTACTTACAATTTTTTGGCACTCTGGAGGGTGTTTTGAGGGCATGTTCCTGATCTTTCTGATGAGATGGTTGGCTGCTGCTGAGTCTGCTATACGGCGTACTAACTCGTCCATCATTCCTCGACCGTGGAGTAAGACTACCTGTCTGTGACACCATTGGTCCCTGAGAACGAGGGGTCATGTTTCTGCCCTGCTGGACAGGCTGGGAAGCAGACAGCTGATGTTTGGGTGACCTCACTTTATCAGCTAGTCTCTTTAATGTATTAAGCACTGCATGGTCACCCTGACCCCTGCCACTGTTTGTAAGCACTGCATGGTAACCTTGACCTCTGCCACTGATGGTTTGTGTCGATGGGTGGCGAGCTCTACTGGAGGTTTGACCAACATTGGGTGGAAGTATGGAAGACATCACTAGGTAAGATGAGCTAGTTGGGAAGGAATTGTGCTGAACAACATTTGGTGGGTGAACTACATTTGGTGGGTGTGTGGAGGACACATTGTTACGATCTGCACCTGCTGGAGTGGACGGTTTATTTGTTTGAACATTAGCAGAGGTGATGGTTTGGGACACATGTTGATGATTTGTGGAAATTTTGCCAGTTGATCCTGGATTCCTTGATCTTGGAGCTTTAATAATTAAAAAAACATGGGATCACTTATTATAAATCTCGTAAAGAATAGGGCAAACACATGTCTTAATTCATATTTTTCTTTCCAAAGATAATTGAAATAAGAATGTTTTTCCTTTTTTTTGATTTTGGTGTGTTTTAGAAGAACTAAATTAAAAGTAATTTCACAAGTTTTTTGTGATAACTTACAGGCTCAAAATTTATACCTGAACACCATTTTTGAACAAACTGACAAAATATAATTTGTGCTGACTTAAATCATTTGACATCTGACATAAGACTGTTACCTTGGCAGATCTCACACTGCTGCTTGGGAGATGTGACGACATTCAAACAGCGACGACACCGCTTACAGAATTCACAGATGTGAACGTTCTCTCCCATCCGATGACAAAACCGACAACACCTGAACTGGACACCTTTGAACAGGACACCTTGGGGGGAGCGTCGGGGGACACGACACTTATCACATTCACCAGGGTTAGTCCCGGGGTGTCCACAAAAACAACAAACCTGTATTCCAGACGAGGGTTCAGATTTTATAGAGGAGAATCGGACAGGTGTGGCATTCTGGGTAGAGACTGAAAAGAAAAACGGTATAATCAGTAATTTGGTGCTTTTGGACATGTTTAGCCTTTATTTAAACACCCAGAGACAGAGATTTAGGACTACCGTGTGTTGTGTGAATTCTATTGTGAAATTTGTTTACCAAGTCACTGCACATGCATTCTCTCTAATTTATTTTTCATTTTACTTGACAATTACACCTTCTTATACTTACTTAATACATGTACATTAATATTTCTCCAAAGTTTTTAAACTTTCTATGGAAAATTATTTTTTCAAGAGTAACAAGAAATATAATTTTTCATCCAGAACTGGACAATGCAAGCAACTTTAATGAAAAATGAACCTTGTGTTGCCTTTAAAGATAAGGGGTTCAGACCTTCTGTTAGTGATTACTAAACACGAATCTACCTTCTCTACACTGAGTAATGTCATTACCTGTCATTTCTTTCTTGATTTTGGGCACACTTAGTGATGGTTCCACTTTGATGGAGGTGAGAAGTTCTGAATCGGATGATCCGGCTTGAAGTTCCTCAAGAACAAAACTCGATGGCAATTCTAACGAGTTACCAGCTGTTCTCTGTATATCCTAGGGATATACAGAACCAAATTAATCTTTCAAAGAATGTTATGGAAGCTTTGCTTTTTGTCAAATAAATCAAAGGAATCTTTGAATAACAAGATGAATAAATAAATATGTTGATGAGATATACGCTAGAAATGTTTCATAAAAATGGCTGACACCTGATCAGCAAAATACATCCTTATCATGAATGAAATCTTGACTTCTTCACAATGTTTGACAGATTTGTAATGATCGAGATCTCAAACAGGATATGAAATTTAATACATTAATTTTGGAAGACAAACCTGATTTCCTTGTGCATTAGTGACTTCTGATTGGACAGGAGTCCCATTAGTGGTTGTGACAGGAGGTGGCCCTGTAGTAGTTATAGGTACCCTCACTCCGGCCTCCTCCATTATGGCGCGCACCTGGAGTGAAATCTCCCGAACACCTACAACAACATACAGGAACATGTAACTAGAAATGTGTGTGTTTTGGTTGAAAGAGAACACTTTATCATTTCTTGCGATGGAAGGTATCAGCTGTGCTGGAATATTTTGATGTTATTTATTTCCTTACATGGTACGAGTACGTCTCTCAGTTCCAGGCAGGTCCCAGGGGCCTCCCAAAGGGGCTCAAAAGCCACCTGTAGAGTCGAGCAAAGACTACGACACACTCCCCGTACTATCTCCGTTACCTGAACCTGAATAAGAGGTTTTCATCTTAAGTTAATTTACTTCATAAATACACAAGTATCCTGCTTATTGCCATGGCAAATATTCATGTACAATTTATAACTGTACTTGTATTTTACTAATTTAAAGCCTCTTATTAAAATGATTTATTTTACCTGTTTTAAAAGGCAGTTGGTTTTAAAACCAGATGTTATTTGAATCTATACATTACATGCACTTCACCATTCTTCTTATATAATCAAAACACAATGGAAACATTCAATCCAAATTTAACACAGTCAGTATTTGTACGGGGTGAATCTTATCAAAGCTATGTCAGGAATCCACCTACCTTGATTTGCTCCAACTCCTGCAGTAGGTTGCGCGAGGCATCATCAAACATATAGTACCTCCCTATGTCGATTCCAGCGGCCATGTCGTCCTTCATTCTCTGGTAGGTTCCCGGTCCACTCTCTGCCGCACAAGCCTCGTAGGTTAGAGCCATGTTCTCCTGGAACAGCAATTTATTTAAATTTATACGTGTATTAATGTAAAATTCTTTACCATGAATATACATGTATAACAAAGGATATAGATATAAATTCATCTAATATTTATATATAAATAATGTTCATAGCCATCTAGAAAGATCGGTTTTCTGTTCATTCTTTCCTATTTTTTCCTGTTGGAGTCTATTCAGTCATATCTGAGTATTTTTCAGACCCTTAAATTACTCCAGTAACCTTGAGAGTATTTTCCATAACACTCTTCATAAAACAGCTTACCTGAATTACAGGTGTCAGAACACGATTGGCATCCCTCTGTCTCTCTGTCACAAAGTCTTTAAGAGCAGTCACCATCTCTGTCAACTACAAGAATTATTTCAACTATAAACTTATTTAAAGTAATTCACAAACACATTTATTTCTCCTTATTTTAAAATGTTGGAAATGTGAAAAGTTAAAGGACTCCCATCTTCTCCCTCATTTTTGTTGACTGACCTGATGCTTTGCATTGTCTAAGATGTAGGCCTGTACCCTCTGTGTACTGCTGGGTTGTACACCGTGTTTATGAAGCTCCTGGGTCAGGATCTGGATAAACTCTGTCAGTGTTGTCAGTACTGTGGTCTTAAACTTCTCAAAGTAACCCCAAAGTATTCCACTGAAAGCAATCAAAGCCAAACACTGTCACAAGCAAATAACAAGAGGCCCATAGGCCACATCGCTAACTGGAGTCAACATATAGCCCTGTTTTTCTTCAGCAGATTTTTTTCTTTTATATGTTGATCTACAAATGTACTTTGATCCCCCAATGTTCCACCAAACCTATCCCCTAGGGGTCATGATTTGAGCAAATTTAAACCTACACTAAATCAAAATACTTCCATATCCATATGACTGACTAATCATGGCTTTGCTGCTCTGAAGAAGAATATTTTTCCCTATATATTCCTATGGAAAACTTTGATATACCATTGTACCCCACCCTACCACCTGGGGTCATGATTTGAACAAACTTAAATTTTAACTATCTAAGGATGCTTTCACATCAATATGACTAATCATGGCTTTGCTGTTCTTAATGAGATTTTTTCACATTTTTCTTAAGAATTTTTCACTCATACAGAGACCCCTCCACTGGCAACATGAGGCCCAAGGGCCTTGAATCGCTCTTCTGATAAATTGTACAACCTATCACTTCTATTTGAAGACTCTAATCCTTATCCTAAGACCCAAATTGCATCAGCTGACAAAGTTTGATGATTCTTAGCCAATTAGGACTGAAGAAATTTTAATTAAGCTATAAAAAAAACCATAAGTAGGTCATAGTGACCTACTTTAAGATTGACGTTTTCTAAGGACTCAAGATGCATTAATAGACAAAGATTGAAGATTCTAAGCCAATAAGTATTCGAGATATTCAAGAGTAGGTCACCTTGATCTACTTTTTGGTCTACATTCTTGAAAAACACTAAATGCATCAACTGAAAAAGTTTGATTATTCTAAGCCAATAAGTACTCGATATATTTAAATATAGCCATAAAATGTCCAAAGTAGGTCACTGTGATCTAATTTTTATTAGACAATTTTCGAAACCTAAGATACATCATCTGACATACGAGGGTTGTCCGTAAAGTTCGTGGACAACATTGCTAATTACTGACAAAATTGATAAAATATATGAAACCATTATTTTCATTAAATTCATGTTTCATTTTATTAACATGCAAGTTTTCAACAAAAACAAAGCACAAATAGTTATATTTTTATCAGATTAAAAAAAGACACGCACTCATACCCGGAGCACTAAACTGAAAATTCTTTACGTTAACCGACGTCAAAATCATAATATGAGTACATGTAACTTTTCTCAATACAGTCATCGTTTAACTCAACACATTTCTAATGTCGCTTTGACCAGTCATGAATATGTGCAAAAAATGTTCATGTTTCATATTAAAATAATATTTAACAATGCCTGTCTCATATCCTGCAATCCTCTAACCTCTCTCCGTGTAAAAACGATTTTATTAATGGAAATAAGGTAAATTCACGTTGCAAAGTTAATTTTCTACAGCACTGCGATCTCGGAATGGTGGTTCTCCTTCACGCATGTCATCCTGTAAACTGTTCCTTCCGTCCGAAAATATTATATATCACTTAAATGCTAATGTACAGCTTCTTTTACTAAGTTTTTCCCGGTTGTTTACAAAATGTATTGGTCTCTGTATGTATTTATCCGATGTCTACGCAGAATTTTTACTGCTCACTGCTCCACCTATTCCGAAAACCTCCCTTTTTTGAACAATTCCGATCCGTCTTAACATGTTCTAACTTTGATTGCTCAGCCATTTTACAACTTTGAATGTTCAAATTTTGCAGGTTTGAAGTGATAACTTTTGTCAACTTCATAATGTAAAAGTCATCCAAATTTCTGCATTATTCTATAAAATACAAATGAAATTTATAAAGTGATAAATAATTTTTTAATCAAAATTTTGCGGTGCTCCGGGTCTCCATACCAAGTCTTATTATGAAGTCATAATTTTAATTAAACATTTGAAATTGAATCATATTTTACATTTCTCAGTTCACATTTAGTAAAAGATTAAAAATATGCTAATAATAGATATCAATGACGCAATTTTTATTCAATTCTGAGCCTGTCCACGAACTTTACGGACAACCCTCGTAGTTGGATGATCCTAAGCCAATTAGTACCTGAGATATTCAAAAGTAGGTCTCTGTGACCTACTTTGTAGTCGACATTCTCCGAAAGCCAAAGATGCCCCAACTGACAAAGTTTAACAACTCTAGGTCAACCAGTACTGGAGATATGAAAATATAGCCATAAAATGTCAAAAGTAGTTCAAGGTGAAGTAATTTTTGGTTTGCGTTTCTTGAAAACCCAAGATGCATCAACTGAAAAAGTTTGATGATTCTAAGCCAATAAGTACCTGATATACTTAAATAAAGCCATAAAATATCAAAAGTAGGTCACCGTGACCTACTAGCTGGTCGACATTCTCCGAAATACAAGATGCACCCACTGACAAAGTTTGATGATTCTAAGCCAATAAGTACCGGAGGTACTTAAAATAAAGCCATGAAATGTCAAAAGCAGGTCACCATGACCTACTTTTTGGTCGTCACTCTCCCAAAACCCAAGATGCATCAACTCACAAAGTTTGATGATTCTAAGCCAATAAATACCTGACATACTTAAATATAGCCATAAAATGTCGAGAGTAGGTCATCGTGACCTACATTTTTGTGGACATTTTTCAAAGTCCCAAGATGCATCTGCTGACCAAGTTTGATGATCATAGGTCTGAAGGTAATCAAAATATGCCTTTTCAACAATTTGAAAATAAATGCCTGCAAAATTCAAAAAGTAGGTCACAGTTACCTACTTTTTCATAAAAATGTTTTAAGGTCCCAAGATGCAGCAACTTACAAGATTTGATGATTCTTACCCTCTCAGTGTCTGAAATAATGGGATTAAATATTTCAAAAAGGATAAGTCATAAAGTCATAACGTTCAAAAAGAGGTCACGGTCACCTACTTTTAAGTTGACGTTGTTCAAGGACCCAAGAAGCATTAATTGACAAAGTTTGATGATCATAGGCCTTAAAGTGTCCAAAATATGCCTTTAAATCAATTTGAAAACAAATGCCCACAAAATTAAAAAAAAGAAGGTCACTGTGGCCTACTTTTGAGTTAACATGATGTGAAGTCCTATGATGCATCAACTTACAAGATTTGATGATCCTAGTCCTTATAGTAAGCAAAATATAAATGTTTTTATTAATTGTAAATTTAGGTCAACTTTGAAGTGACCTTAAGACCACACCCTTTGCCCCAGGGTAATTCCCCGTGCAAATTCTAATCTTCAACATATCCTGATCCTTGTATGTAAGTTTGGTGAAAAAATCTGCCTGGTGGTTATGGAGATGATTTTTTAGCAACCAGTACTTTTGTTTTTGTTTTCCTGATTATCTCCCCTTGTTTAAGGGTCCCAACCCTTATTTAAGTATAAATGGTAGCCCTTTGGCCAAGGATACCCTGTGACAAATTTGACAATGATTGGCCAAGGGGTTCTTGAGTTATGGCCCATATTCTAAAAAGTTAACGCACACCACACAAAAATGGCCATAGCATTAGCTCTTTGCTATATAGCCTTTGGCTCTTAAAAAGAAGAGCTAAAAATGTTACCTATTCTCAGACGATTAACAATTTTTTTCCTGTTTGACTTTTAAAGAAAGCATGGTATATTCTTTAAGAATATTTTCTCTCTTTTTAAAATATGTAAAAATTATTGTTATTACTTTCATATTTTAAAAAACAAGAGTTTCTTGCACTTATGTGTTTTTTATCGATTTTATTCGTAATATTTTAACAACCTTGAGTTTTACATTTATTTCTGTGTTGAAATAGGAAAAACAAAATAAAGCTGGTAAAAGTAGAGAAAATTTCCTTTCCAACGACCTTATAGGCCTTCTTGGCTCCATATTTATTAAATTGAATAAGTAAAATTGTGACCTTACATAGTTTTTATCGAAAAAGTCAATTTGATGTTTAATGTAACGATAAAGTTGAATATTGTTACGTATTACTCAAATAACAAATTCTTTTATAAGACTTTTTTGACCATTCAAACATATTTTTTACTGAAATAAAATGCATAATACAAAAAAAAAAATCATTGCCAAAAAACAAATATTTTTTTTCTGCCTTTTTGGGGAAGTGAATGTTATTTATTTCAAGTAATGTTAAGGGTGTAAAAATTTGTTTTGAAAATTTGATTTGATTCCAAAATATTTTTAAAAAAAAAAAAAATTCAGATTTTTAATATTTTTATTTTTTTGATATTTATTAATTTGAAATTTTAATTTAATTATATTTAACAATACAAAAACTCGCATTTATAAATAAATACAACTCATACTGTATAATTGATACAAATTAAAAAAAAACATGTTTCCGGGGTTAAACAGATGGTAAAAATTGAACGTAATTTTCAGTTATTTCACACAAGATCCATCAATAATAAAAATAGGACATGTTTTTCCGGGGTGAGATACGTGTATATTGACTAAAATTTTAAATTTAAAAGAAATTAGTTTTCACTTAAAAAGAAACTAAATGTACCATGTCTAATTTTATTTTTCTGTGCTTTTTTCTTCAGCCAATTTTGTTGCTTTTAAAATTTTGATTTTTGAAAATCACTGGAAGTAAATAAAATAAAATTCATAATAAGGGATAGTTTTTTCTATTAAGTGTGTACTGTACCACTTTCACATTAAATTTTGGGTGTTTTAATATGCAACAATACTTTATTT